CCAATGCCGTTTCCGTGCTGTATCCCGGCCTGAAGCCCGACTGGAGCGGGTCTAGATAGACCGTTTCCTCCAGGTGTCGGGGGAGCTGCCATGCAACCACACTCTCCACAACCTTCGCCACGAAGCGAAGGTTGGAGACCGGACGATAGTTAGCTAATACATCTGGGTCCAGGGAAGGCTTCTTAAGGAGGGGCCTCACTACCGCTTCCTTCAAGGCCATGGGGAAGACACCCTCCCGCAAAGAAGCGTTTATAATCCCCTGGAGCCAGGCTCGTGTACCCTCCCGGGCAGCCAGTACCAGCCAGGAGGGGTACGGATCCAGTAAACATGTGGTTGCATTCAGCCGCCCGAGAATCCTGTCCACATCCTCAGGAGCCACAGAGTCAAACTCCTCCCATATAACAGTCTCAAGACTTACTCCTGTCTCCTCTCCCGGGGCCACCCAGTCAGAGTCAAGACCTTCCCGGATCCGAGCGACTTTGTCATGCAGATATTGAGCAAAATCCTCGGCCCTCTCCCCCAGGGGATCCTCCCCCCCCTCAACTGGAGGAGGGAGCGAGTCACCCTGAAGAGGGTGGCCGGGCGATTATCTGATGACGCAATGAGGGTGGAGTAGTAATTAAACCTCTTGAGCTTTTGTTTGGAGTTGTTCCTGTGGCATGAACTTTGACCTGAGTCTGAGTGTGTCTTTCTGGTATTTTGATGGTGGTGGGTTAATCCTATTATATCTCAAAGGTCATATCCTGCTTCCCTGGGTGTGTGGTTGATGACTATGTCCTGTGTTGGATTTTTTGGTGTGAGGGATTGTTGATTCTAGGGATCTTTGTCTTTCTAATCCCATCAGCTCTAAGCTTCCAGGTGTCAGTCTTTCTGAAAGGATTACGATATCTGCATTTCTACAGAGCTGGTTTCTGCTTGGGGGAGGGAGACTACCCCGATAATTCTTTTTAACCCGTACGAAAAGACGGAAAAATTCTAGGAAACTCCTTTATATTATAAGACGGGAAAATTATAAAGGAAGGGACCCCCCTCCCTCACTGAAGGGTGTGGTGATACAATTTTAACACCGTTATACCTCTTTAACTCACTCGTTGTTGTTATAAACAAAAGACATCTACTACTTAGGCGAAGAGCTTCCCTGCTCTTCCTTGCCTTTAAGTAAGTACATCCACTAAAATTCAGTAAGAATTAGAATTATATTGTGAGTGATTTTTAATGAACTCTGTAACTCTGGATTTCAAACTAGTATTCATTTATTTCATGCTGGCTGGGGAAATCTGGGAGTTGAAGTCTACACATCCTAAAGTTGCCACAATTGAAAAACAACAATTTCTTATGTTTATCTCCCTGCCCCCACCTATTCTCAGGAAATTCTGAATGAATAACCACAGAATTCATGAAATAAAATCCAAGCACATTTTAAACCCTCCTAATAGAAACAAAACAAATAAAAAAGCAGGAAACCAAATTCTTTAAATGCATAGATAAGAGTCATTTCTTTCACTGCTGCAAATAAAACCAGTGTTACTAAAAGGCACCTCTTCATGCAACACAAGTCATACCAAGATTTCCTTAACGAGATCTGATTTATGTCACCTAGCATCAACTGAAGACCATCCCTTTCTATCTATATGATCTTTTTATTCATTTTTCTAAACTTTGCTTTCAGATTTACCCAACCCAAGGAAAACCTTTGATGAAATTCTCAAATTGAAGGCACAGAGTTCTCACATTCAACCTCAATTATAAAATAAAACAGGCAAGAGTGGTGTATGAGAATGTCCTATGCTGGACATTTACCTTTCCATCAGTCTGCAATTATCTCTAATGTACAATGTTCTCAGTAAAACCAAGGAAAAGATAGCAAGAGCAGGGATCTTCAAACTTGGCAACTTTAAAACTTGTGGATTTCAACTCCCAGAATTCCCATGATATGGCTGGCTGAGGAATTAAAAGGGGCCAAGTTTGGACAGCCCTGCCATAGACTGTCATTTCCTTTACATCTCCTAGCACATATTCAATAGCAACTTGCAACCTACAATACAATACAATAACAGAGTTGGAAAGGACCTTGGGGGCCCTCTAGTCAAACCCCCTGCTCAGGCAGGAAACCCTATACCAGTGATGACGAACCTTTTAGAGACGGAGTGCCCAAACTGCAACCCAAAACCCACTTATGTATCATCGGGTACTGGGTGGGTGTGGCCCATTGGGTGGGCAGGGCCCATTGGGTGGCCATGGCTACGGTGGTAATGGCAGACTGGGCGGGACTAAAAAGTTCAATCAATCAATTCCAACTTTGCGAGATCTTTTTTTCCCCGCGAGAAGTTGAAATTGATTGATTGATTGAACCTTTTTTTTTTTTGCACACGCCGGCGGAGGCCTAAAGCAAAAAGGTTTTATAAAACCCAGCTGAATGCCTAGGACTGGGGCGACAGTGCACGTGCCCACAGAGAGGGCTCTGCATGCCACATGTGGCACGCATGCCATAGGTTCGCCACCACGGCCCTATACCATTTCAGACAAATGGTTGTCCAATCTCTTCTTTAAAACTTCCAGTGTTGGAGCATTCTCAACTTCTGGAGGCAAGTTGTTCCACTGATTAATTGTTCTCACTGTAAAGAAATTCCTCCTTAGTTCTAGGTTGCTTCTCTCCTTGATTAGTTTCCATCCGTTGCTTCTTGTCCTCCCTCAGGTGCTTTGGAAAATAGCTTGACTCCCTCTTCCTTGTGGCAACCCCTGAGATATTGGAACACTGCTATCATGTCCCCCCTCGTCCTTCTCTTCATTAAACTAGACATACCCAATTCCAGCAACCGTTCTTTATATGTTTTACCTCCAGTCTCCTGATAATTTTTGTTGCTCTTCTCTGTACTCTTTCTAGAGTCTCAACATCTTTTTTACATTGTGGTGACAAAAACTGGATGCAGTATTCCAAGTGTGGCCTTAACAAGGCATTGTAAAGTGGTATTAACACCTCATGTGACCTGCACAGCATGTCCTTATCTCTTCAACTGTAGCATATTTGAGTAAACGGAAGAGAAAGACAGTGTAGAAGCCACAATGACATCATGAGAATTACGGTCTCAGTACAGAAATAATGCAAAGTACAAACTTCATGTCATTTAGTGATAACATGGCTTGTAGAAGAAGTCTCCAAGGCAATCACACATCCATCAACTGTGACTTAAATATATATTAAAACACCTTGCCACTAACCTGCCAGAATATGCTGTCAATTGTATTGCCCAAAAAGCCATCCCGCCCTTCTGAGGAGACCAGTTTAGGCCCAAGGATCGTCATGAATTCATCAAAATCAACTTGACCATCTCCTAGAAAGGAAGGGGAGAGAGAAACTGGTGTAAGAATAAGAAAAAAAAATGGAAGCAGAGAATTCTGAGAAATGACACTGAAGCTTCATCGGCCATCTTGGATTGCTAACCAGAGAATTCTGGCATTAACTGTACCAAGAGTTATTTGGTTGCAGGAGAAGACCGTTTTATTCATGTATTTTCTTCCAGATAAAAAAAGAAGATTACAGCAAAGTACAAGACATAGATGAAAATCATAGTTAAGTAAAACACACTCAGGGAAAAAAAAGACAACAAAGTACAGCAAATCAAACTGAAGCCAATTAAAACAAAACTATGAAAGCGAGAAATAAAGAAAACAGACAATTCAGCTAAACTGATCAAAGACTGAGCTCAACTTTTGAATATTTATGGAGGAGGTTTCCAGCAGGGCAGCTACTTACCCACTACCACAAATGTATTGCTGATTTGTGGAAAGCGTTAGGGAATAGGCAGCTTGGTGCTTCATGGCTGGCTTTCTTTTTAAAGACAGGTTTAATTAAAAGGAAGGAAATAGAGGAAAACTGCAGAAAAAAGCACCAAGCACCTTTATTCAGAACAGATCACTGGTCTCATCTTATTAGAAAATAAACAAGGTCAGAGGACTTTTTCTGCTGCTTAGTTTAGAAGCATTTTCATTTAACTGGAAGAAAAAGGAAAAGAAGCTAAGGAAACTCATGGCATTTTCCTTCTGCCCAGTGGGTGTTTCAGGGCTACCAGCTTGGGGGTATCCAAAATGATCACCAGATAGCTACAAAACTCTTAACTCCAGAAGTTGTCTGAATCCAAAGCACTTGAGGGCATGACAAGAAGAAATAGATGGGAACTAATCAAGGAGAGAAGCAGCCTAGAACTAAGGAGAAATTTCCTGACAGTTAGAACAATTAAACAGTGGAACAACTTGCCTCTAGAAATTGTGAAAGCTCCAACATTGGAAGTTTTTAAGAAGACATTGGTCAATCATTTGTTTGAATGGTATAAGGTTTCCTGCCAGAGCAGGGGGTTGGACTACAAGACCTCCAAGATCCCTTCCAACTCTGTTCTTCTATTTTATCCCTGCAGCCCAGATACCAGAGCTCTAGTGTTTTTTTTGAGTGGTCACACCTCATCATGGTAACCATTTTATGCACCAACAAGCTTCCACTGCATATTTAGTAACTGGTCAGGAGAGGGTCTCAAAAAAGCATTTTGGCCAATGGATCCCTTGTGCTTGCTTACCTCTGACATTTAATCTTTGAGATAAGACTGATGCCCTATTTATTTATTTATTTATTTATTTACACACCACCCATCTCATGTAGTGACACTGGGAGACTTACAATAGAATAAAAGCAAGAATACAAAAACATTATACTGTTACAAATATTGCAAATATTAGAATTAACAGAGATTGGGGTGGAATAGGAACTAGTACACGAGCAGGATAGAGGTGGGATCTTCTTTCTTAGTTTACTGACCAGCTCCATTGTGGAACGCCCCCATCGGGGCCCCAGGCCAGTTGGCAGAGCCAAATTTTGAGGTTCTTTCAGAAGGACAGAAAGATCAGAGCTGATTCACCTCCAGTGGCATGATGTTCCAGAGGGGGAGGCCACAGCGGAAAAGGCTCTTCTCCTGGACCTCACCAGCTGCTGTTCTTTCACCGATGGGGCCAAGAGCAGGCCCCTTCTGCTGGAACGAGAGGAGTGGGCCAATCCCATTGGGGTAAAATGGTTCCTCAGACAGCCATGACAGCCTTTAAAGGTGATAACCAACACCTTGAACCGGACCCAGAAGCAAAGCTGCAACCAGTTGCATAATCAAAGGGTTGCTATGCTCAAACCTTCACCGAGATGCAGCACTCATTTGAAAAGCTGCACAGCCCTAACTTTTTATTTCTATCTCACCTCTCAATTCAGTCTGAGCATTTCAGGCAGCTAGCAGGCAGGCAATAAATAAAAGCAAAATAAAATTTAAATTGCAAACATTGAAATCAGCTATTAAAAACCTGGCAAAAGAGATGCTCCTAGGCTGCTCTTCTTAAGGGACAGAAAATAAGGGCCAAACACATGTTCTGGCTGAGAAATTCTGGGATTTGGGAGTTCACCAGTCGTAAAGTTGCCAAGGTTGGAGCCCCCTGTTCTAAAGGATGCATTGGATGGTTTGGAAGTGAAGCAGGAGAAGGCCTCTCATTCACGCTCCAAAAACAGCCATCTTCTAATAATAGCTTCATCTTCATCAGAAGGGTCTGTCTAGCAGTTTTTACTAGCCAAGTAGTTCATAAAAGAGGAAGATGTTCAGAAGATGGTCAGGCACTAAGCCAGGCCCCCCAAGATTAATATCAAAATTTTAATTTGGACTTTATAAATGTATCTACCACAATAAAATGGGATGGGAACAGGGAGGAAGATGTCTTCAAGTGAGAAATACATCATGATTCTTTTTAATGCAGCAATTTATACTCATGCCTTTGTCAATGGACATACTGCCAAGACCATATAAACACCATATAATAGCAATAGCATTTAGGCATATGTACCACCCCATAGCACTTTACAGCAGAGGTCCCCAACCTTTTGGGCACCAGGGACTGGTTTTGTGAACAGAGGTTTTTCCACAGACCAGAGGGTGTGTGGTTTTGTGTGCTGCCTGCATCTTGTGGATGGGACTTTGCTTGTTTGTGCGGACTGGTTGCTGGCATGCCATGGCCCAGTACTGGTCCACGGATCAGGGGTTGGGATCCCTGCTTTACAGCACTCTCTGGGCAGTTTACAATGTATTTGCATATTGCCCCCAACAACAAGAGTCTTCAGTTTACCCACCTTCTGGATGGAAGGCTTAGTCAACCTTAAGCCCCATCAGGATCAAACTCCAGGTGGTGGGGAGAGTTTGCCTGCAATACTGCATTCTAGCCACTGCACCATAAGGGCTCCATTATACAACATCAAATGATATTTGACAAGGTGAATATCGTTTGATGTTGCATTGCGTTCTCTTTACCTTTCAGCCATTTTTTGTCTTCCTTTTATTGTATGACATTAACTATCCCAGTTTGTGCATTATATTTTGCGCTAAGTTTGCATGAACTGTATTGAATAGGGCTGGTTCATCAAATACTGCTCTGACTGCTATATTTCCAGAACCCTAGTTAGTTGAAGTGAAATATGTAAATAATAGTTCTCGTTCCACAGAGTTCATTTCAGTTTTTGTTCCATTTTTTTTTAAAAAACTTTAGTGATGTGCAAAATATTTTGCATTCAAACCACCTCACTGTTTTGAGCCTGATAGAGTTGCTTTGAATGCAATTGAACATGAACAATTTTGATAATTCAAGAAGCATTAGACATCAAAAATGATTGAAGCAGCCTATTTTTTGTGAAACAGTTGGCCTGCACTCAGAACAATTGCTTTGAGCTTTAAAAGCGACATTTCAAATTCAAACAGGTTGCGTGTTCAAAGTTTAATACATAGCTTTTTTTAAAATGAAGGAGGCTAGTGTGTTAAATTGTTCCAAATTCCAGTAGAAGAATCACATTAAAGAGTTGAACTTTAATGTGGCCATAAACTGGCCATAAACAGCAAGAGAAAAAGAAAGTCAAGAAGATTGCTAAAGCATTCTGTTTTCAGCTATTACAAACCATGGGGAATTAGGCACAAGAATTACTATTAAAAAAATATTGTTAAAGAAACACTCCAACGAAATAAGCCATTCCTCCAAAGTCATGCTGTCTTAATGGAGCAACATGCAGCGGAACAGATCCATTCATTATCCTGATAATTCGAAAATCTGAGCTTTTCTTATGGTCTTTTATATTCCTCTCCCATTATGGCTGAAAGCAGTAATTTACAACGTTTGGGGACACATTTTGTCAATATAGGTAGTCTTTATTTGGGAGCCACTTTAGCGTAATATTTAAGGCATCGAGCTAGAAACTAGGTTACCATGAATCCTAGTCCCATCTTAGACACAAAGCCAACTGAGTGACTTTGGGCCAGTAATCTCTCTTAAGTCTAGGGAGAAAGCGACAGCAAACGACTTCTGAAATCTTGCCAAGAAAACTGCAGGGACCTGCCCAGGCAGTCACTAGAAGTCGGAAACTGACTTGAAGGCATACACCAAAAAATCTTTCTTTAGTGACTGCCTTGGATAGCAACAGTGGTGGGATTCAGCTAGTTCGCACCACTTCAGCAGAACCGGTAGCTAATTTTTTGTTGCCCAGACCCATAATAGATTCCGGAAGTGGCATCCACACAGAGAACCAGTTGTTCACATATTTGAATCCCATCACTGGATAGCAACCATTTGCAGTTACTATGGCAATGAAAGAGGAACTCTGAGACCAATGCCATCTTTCTCAGTTATGTGTTTGCCATTACAGTCAGTTAGTTCTGTGCCTGTTCTGTACATTGTTCTGTGCCTGGTCTTTTATTTGTTTGTTTGCTTGTTGTTCATTTTTCCCTTCTTCACAGGGCACAGAAATTGCCTAAACAAGCTATCTCTTCCTGAACTGCTTTCTTCTTTGATCTTTCAAAGTCACAACAGCACTGAAAAAAGTGACTTATGACTGTTGCAGGATCACCAGGGTCACATAATCAAAATTTAGATGTTTGGCAACATCTAAACTCCTATTTATGAAAGATGCAGTGTCCCGGGGTCATGCGATCACATTTTATGACCTTGTGACAAGCAAACGGGGAAGCCAAATTTACTTAATAGCCGGTTAGGGGGGTTGGGGTTGGGGGGCACCGTTTTACGGTGGTTCTCCTCCTACCTCTCGGACCGGACGCAATTTGTGTTGGCAGGGGGGCAGAGGTCAACCTCGAGGCGCCTCACTTGTGGGGTACCACAGGGGTCGGTCCTCTCGCCTCTCCTGTTCAACATTTATATGAAGCCACTGGGGAGATCATCCGTGGTTTCGGGGTGGAGTTTCATCAGTACGCAGATGACACCCAGCTGTACATCTCCAACCCAGACCACCCCAATGATGCCGCAGAAGTGATGTCCC